GAAATTTGAAGCTGACTGGACAGAATGAGTTGTTTCATGTTCTTTGTCCAATAAATTGTTCAGTACTTGTCTCACACCTTAGTACTTGAAATATACCTTACATTGATGTACTAATTTAATGATAAAAATCTTAAGATAAGAATACATTTGCACATGTAGCATATTCCTACTGCTATTTGTAATGTATGTAACCAGTTTTGGAAACATTTGATTTACTAGTATCTAGAAGGTTGTGCCTAAAGCAACTGGCAAGTTGTTTATCTTCTTAGGAGTTTAATAATGATAATTTTTTAAATTCAGTTTTATACATAAGGCAATCAATGCTAACTGCCAGTATGAATATCCAAATCATATATAAACTTATCAGATTATTTGCTATTAAAATAAAAATTGGCATACCTGAAGACTTCATTGACTATTACAAATTACTTTCTTATGAAAGAGAGTAAATAAACATTTATAAATGTGCATCATTCTTTTAATATATTATAGAAATAACTATATTCTACAAAATATCTACCTAAGAGGAATATTACTTCATTCAAACCAAGAAAAAACTTGTCTTTAGCTTTTATAGGCAGTGATGATTTCTACAGAAATTTTTCAACCTGTTGCCCTCCTACCACTGTTACCTGTCTTTGTGGGTTTTTCACAACACTGTGAGTAAAGGGATGAGATGAGAACAGCTAAGTTTTAGAGAAATTATGTAAGTTGATTGAGGTCACACTGCAAACAATGAACAAATTCTTGATTTAAATTCAAGTGGATCTAACTTAAAAATTACATGGATCTTTTTTCAATATACCATTATATTATACTTCTCTCTGTACTCAGTAGCAATCATTGCTACTGTAACTACCACTATCACCATGATCTTCCCTTCTCACCTCTTGAGCTATACATCTAAAGCCTCACATCAATGCAGCATGCATGTTCTGGGGCAATTTAAGGTAGAATTTGGGTTCCTAGGGATCAGAGTTTAACTTGAAAGAGACTTCAGATCTGTATATTTAAAAAGCAATGGATGAGAATGTCTGCCCTGTATAATACAAGCCTCTCAGAACAATGAATAAGTCAGAATAAAATGAACAGGCAAAGGCAGAGTGTGACTCAGATGTTCTCAAATGTACCACCTTTGTGCTACCTCTGTATGAGACGTACCTCCGTGTCTCATAGTTTTTCTAAAGAATCCATCTGTCTTAGTCTGTTCAGGCTTCTGTCACAAAATTCCTCAGACTTGGTGGCTTAGAAACAACAGAGATTTATTTCTCAGTGGCAGATTTGGTGTCTGGAGAGGGCCCGTTTCCTGGTTCACAGATGGTGGCTCTCTCACTGAGTTCTCACATGGCAAAAGGGGCATGGAAGCTCTCGGGGTCTCTGCTATATGGGCACCAGTTCCATTCATGAGGGTTCTGCCTTCATGACCTAATCACCCTTCAAAAGTCCCACCTGTTCAAGGCTGCAGTGAGCTATAATTGTACCACTGCACTCCAGCCTGGGCAATAGAACAAGACCCTGTCTCTTAAATTTAAAAAAAAAAATAAAAATTAGGGGAAAATAATAAAAAGCCCATCTCCTGATACCATCATATTGGAAGTTATGTTTAACAAATGAATTTGGAGGGGACATTAATCCACTCTATAATACTAGCCCACCAAAGTATTCATGAGCAGTTCAGATTTTACTGAAGATTTTGTAGGGAATATGGAGGGAGAGATTTAAATTGTTTATTACACCGAAACCTTTAAAATCTCTCATTAGATATTTCTTTTATTTTTTAAATCACTACCAGAATTTTCTTCCTATCCTATTTCACCACATGCTTCTCAAACTTATCAACTCTCTTCTCTTCTTTCCACAATTTTCCCAGGATTTTCAAATACTTCTTTAAATTGATGAAAATTTCAGCTCTACTTAGGAACTACCCCAAAATTGTACCCCAAACCTCATCATGCTCAGAAAAATAAAAGCCTTCTAACTTATACCACCTAATCTCCATAGGAAGCAATGAGAAAGCATAGTATTTTAAAAATAAGCTTAGCTATTTATAATCACTGTCCATGAAAATTGTGTGACTGACATCATTCCCTACATATATTATGCCTGTCTCCATGTTAACTTCAGCTGTTCTCACCTCAGTCTGACTCTCACCCTCATTTACTTCAAATCTTGAACCTCAGGTCTGACTTGACCAAAACCTGGAATGGATTCTGGAATGCTTTCAAAAATGTTTTTCAATAGCAATCAGCACAGCCCTTTTATTCAGCATTTCTTCTGTGCTTAGCAGGACACTTTACAAATAATCACATTTAAACCTTCAAACAAGTCTACGAAGTGAATATTACTTTTCACATATGCCAGTTGACTTTTCCCTCGTCATGAAACAAGACTTTCATCTTGGCATTCATAGCTTTTGGTGGTACGGGGCGACATGCTCACTAAGCAGCCAGCAACACATTGCCGAACAAGAGGAGAGGTAGGTAACAATTATTCAGGACCGATATTTATCTCATATCTGAATAGTTGAATGACACAAAGAAAGTATGAGGATGCCACATTTAAATTTAAATCACTGAGGTCTATGTAGTGCTTAGTAACTTCTGCAATAGTGTTACCTGCATAGTGTTCCCTAATCTTAATAGAAACCGTGAGAAGCAAATATTATGACCCTATTTTTACAGACAAGGAAAGGAGACTCATGGATATGGAGAAACCTACCAAAGAACCTGCTAGCAAATGGCAGATACAAGAGCTAAGTCTTTATCATCTACCTCCACATGCACTTTATGCATTTTAAGCAACACCACATAAATTTACAAAGCAAACAGTGTAATTTCAAACTAAAAGGTTAAAAAAAATTGAGCAAATTATGGCAGCTCATACATTAAAACTTGAGGAAGTTCTGTAGCAACAGAAGCTTAGTAAAAAGAATAAAATTGTTGGCTCAAGGAAGTAGATAAAAAGTATAATTTAACAAATGTGTTTAAGCTGCTTCTCCCTGTGGAGCAGGCTATGTAATGAGAAAGAGAAGGGAAAGGGAGAGGCAGAGGGAAGAGGGGAGGGAGAAAATGCCTGAAAAAGCCAAAGAGACTCCTCTTAAGGCTAATGAGTAGAATGCTCACAGAGAGCAATGAGAAGATAACAGGAAAAAGTTTAGACGTCATGAAAATCTTGAACATCTGGGCATTGGGGTATTTGAGTTAATTACTTAAGCTAAGGTGTGGAAAATAATTCCCTAGCAAATCTCTTCTTAGAAAGACAGAGGGACATGAAGCAATTTGATCACAATCATGACAAGAGACTTACCAGAGACTCTTCTATCAAGTTCCCCGTTTCTCAGAGCCTCACTTTAAACTCTTGCTATTCACATCACCATTTGTGACTCCAAAGTATGGGAGCCAAGAACCATGCAATCATGAATAAATGGTAAACATGCCGTGGTGGGTTTGTTTTCCCTTACTCAGGGTTTTCTGTGAGCGTACCTGGTAAAAGTTACATCATGCATAGCCAATTGCATTCAGTCCATCAGCTGATTACAGACATTTCTCCCAGGAAGCTTCCATCCCTGATATACTGAACTCCATTACCAAACTCTAAGGCACAATAAAAGCTTCATAAACATAATGATAGCATAGAAGTATGAAATGGGAAATACCCAGGAGACGATGAAATTATTTTAGTTCCTTGCTCAACCACAGTATGTTTTATATAATATAATGTGGCAAGCTGCATACGTGATCTAAAACATATCTTTATGAGCTATAGCACTTCTACAGATATGCAGAGGGTAATTAATACCTCACGTAGGCAGAATGCTGATGAGAGGCAGAAAATAGTCACGCCTCTGAATAGCTAGTACACCTGTACTGCCAAAGCTCATGTCTAAAACTTTCATATTTTATTCTGTGAGAAGTTTATTATCACCCTCGGAACCCTTCTGTTCTTATTTTACATATAATTCTAACAAATTTGGTATAAAGCAGAATTAATCACAGGCTTTCCCATATGTTAACTGCTATATCTTATTTGGCAAGAAATTTAATATTTCAAAGACTCCATTGTTTTCACCTGTAAAGTGGGTATAAAGTAGACATATTTTTATAGAGTAGGTATTAACTTATAGTCAGTACATCTATGTAAAGCATAAACACAAAGCAAGTACCCTAGAGGTTAAATACAGATTTTTTTTTCATAGAACCTGAAACCACATTGTGAGCCAACTACCTTATCTGAAGCTCAATCGTAGAAACAGCAATCTTTTTCAATGCCAAAGAAAAACTGGCTGTGCCGGAAGTATTGAGTATGTTGATCTCCACAGTGGAAACTTCCTATGGGATTTTCAAGGGTAACTTCAATTTATGTGATTGTCTTTTATTGCTAGCATTAATATCTCCCTAAGAATTCAAAATGCATAGCAATTTGAAACCAGCTAGAACAGGTATAAACAGGTGCCTTGGATGACAGTTATTAATATCACTATGTTGTATCTAAGTATAGAAACTGAGGGAAAATGGTATGAATGGTCTTTGATTCCTGGGTAAGGTAAGGGTTAGAAAATGTATAATCTTTTTTTAAATTCTGTTTTCTGAATTTCTAGACTACAGTTTATAAAGAAGTGATCATGAAAATCCACAAAGGTTCTAGGCAGTTGGGGATTTTGTACTTCTAGGTATACCTCGCAGCCTCTATACACTCATCAGACTGATTAGGACCTAGATTATAATATGCTTTGTGGAATAAAGTAAAATAATCAAAGAATAAAGTCAATTTTGTTCATTGCATTCAAATACAGCCCAATAAGAAATATTTATGTTAATGTTATACACATTAATTTTCCTATTACTGCCATATCAATACAAAAACTTATAGCACTTGATTGCATGAAAAACATGACCACATATACTGTCCCAGTTGATCTCTATAAGCACCACATAAAAAGAAAGCAAAGTAGGTATTATTTTCCCTGTTTTTACAGGGGTGACAGAAGTTACACTCCTTACCTAGATCCCAAGGCAGTGAAATGCATAAGTGCATGAGCAGGGGCTACAACTCTGCTTCTTGTATTTCTAATTCCATTTTTCTCACCATGTGGCACTTCTTTTTCAAAAAAAAGAAAGAGAGAGAAAGAAAAGAATTTAAGTTTAATTTTAAAATGCAACAACAGTCTGATAAAATTAGAGTTTTAATAAATGATTTAGTTTATTCACATCTAATCTTAGACTTACCGTGTTATAAAAAGAGATATTGTAGTCTGTGGCCCTAGCGCTATTTGAGAAGTTAAAAGGACAAGTATCTGTCCTTGAGGACTGAAAATAGAATAGGTAGACCAGAACATATGCTGGATTCCATCCTAAGCCAATTAATTAAAATTCATAAAGGATTTACAACTATTTTCATATCTTCTTGGAAAAGGCTCAATTTTATAAATGCTGAGTACACCTACTATGTGCGGGGCATTCTGAAGGGTACTGAAAAAAAATACAGTGGTAAGTGGGATCCCACAGAAACCACTATTCGCTGTGGATGTCTCTGAGAATATGAGCCTAACGCAATTCTTCTGGCATAGCTCTATTTCCAAATTTTTATGTAATTATCATACAATTGTTTTGGATAAGAAATAAATAAATAAAACAAAATGTATGGGAAAACGCTACAATATAATGTTATCTTACTTTCTATCAAATAGGCCTCCCATGCTAAATGCTACCTTGCTACTCTGAAAGAGAGGAGAAGCTCATATTGATTGAGCAATTACCATGTGCCAAGCATTTTTGCAGGTGCTTAAAAATGTACCCTTATTTACTTCTCAGCACAACCCTGGGAAGAAAATATCATTATCCTCATTTTCTAGATTTGGAAATGAACTCCTAGTGAAGTTGTATGATTTGCCTTGGGTCACCCAGCAAGGTTTCAGATGCTACATACAGTATTCTTTTTGCATTGCTAAGATACTTTTCTTTTTAATCCTGCAGACAATACACTTTCCATTTGCTGAGAATACCAGTATGATTTATTATGAAAATAGAAAATCATATGAAGTACCTAATAGCTCCATATTTACTTTTATTTGTGGCTCCCTAATATAGCAAGTATCAGTTTCTATTGTATTTTATCTAGTCCCGGGAAACTATTGCATTAAATCCATCATATCCAATCAATTGGTTTGTTGGTTGACCAAGTTTTTTTCATTTTTTCCATCAGATAAAATGGAAAAAAAATTCTCAACCACTTGTTTTAAACTAGTATAGTTCAAATAATTGCCCTGTGTTCCAAAATTGGCATTCATACCTAACACAATCCAGAAATTTTATAATACATTCCAGGTTAGAAGAAAAACATGGAAGAAATGGAAGAATGAAGTTGAATTTATAGAATTGTACTCAATGAAAGAAAAAGTGTAGAGTCATAAATTAGCAAGAGGAAAGAGGTTTTTTAAAGTCAGTGTTTAGTCAGAAAGGTTCATGATGAAGAATATTGATCTTCAAGATGCTGAGGAATCTAATATCCTCAAAAAATTCATGTTTACAGAAAATATAGGTCAAGTTATTATATATTTATTATAAATAAAAATGACTTTTAGTCATCATAAAAATGTTTCTTTTTAGAAAGATTTAACGATTAGAATTAGGGATGAGAGGGACTTCTTGGGCACCAATGAGGTTCTGTTTCATGATCTTCATGATCTCAGTACATGGTGATATTGAGTTGGTGTATTTTCTGTTTATATGTTATAATTTAATAAATGTTTCTAAGAAATGACTTCTAACAGTGAAGATTATAAAGGCCTTCAATGGTTTTTAAATAGAAGTTTTTGCATCTTTGCTCCACACACACTAAGAAAAAGAAGAAAACATGATAAGAGCTTAGGTATAATGGATATGTTTTCTTTTGCAAAAGAAAAAAACAAAGAAAAGTTCTTTAAATCATTTCACAAAGGAAAAAAGAAGACAAATTTCTCTTCATCCTAGTATTCCATAAATATTTGACCTGGGGTAAGGAGTGATTTAAAGTTCTCATACACAACTGCTCCCTAGTTAACTCCCCTTTCTCCTACACATGCATGTGCATATACAGACGCACACATACACTCCAAACCATAGAGCATCCTTGAAAACAAGTCTTTGTCCCATAAGGAGTCACTTTTGAGCAGGACTCCCACACTCACATTTCTAAAGGTTAACTATGGGATAATTTTCATTGGCATCATGGCAGAAAAGCCAAAAATGGTTTGTGAGGTTATTGCTGACCCATGAAATCATTATTTTTAAAGTTGACTATTTTAACCCCCAATTCTAATATTAATACTAAAAAAATGATACTTAACTTTAACAGAAGGATCATCTCCAATGTTTGTTGAAAACAGAGACTTCAGAACTTTACATTAGAGACACTGATTCAGTAGGTCTGTGGGGATCGCCCCAGGAATCTATGCTTTTCACAAACATGCCAGGTAATTCTCAAGCAGATAGCCGGCATACCTCGAAAAATTCTGCCACTATGAGCCTCAAATATAACAAGTTCCAGACAAACCCGGCATGGCATTCAAAGAGATCACAATCCAAGTAGTTTGCCTAGACCTGAACAACCATATGATTTTCATCCTGAAACTCTAATAATCAATGATTTAACTGCAGGCTAAGGTAAAGCAAGGAAAAAAGGCATGACGGTACAGGTGATTTCATCATGTTCTCTTAGCGAGTTTCACATGATGTACCCTGGCTGAAGTTTTATGCATTTGTAAACTTTGTGCCAGTATTTTCACAGACCTTGGTTTGTGAGACACAATGGCTTGTGTGAGAAGAGAAGGGTAAGATTCAGTAAACTTTTATGACACCCTGACCCATCATTGGTTAAGACCTAACAAAGACTTTGGCTAACCAACAGGCAAACCCTCAATCCTGAGGCAAGCCTAATCCATGGAAGTTTTGATTCAACCTGTCACAACAAGTGCACACACATTACATATGGATGATCACAGGCTGCCAGTCACAGGGTGGCTTACTAAGTTTTCTGAAACCCAGAACCTCATCATACCTTGTTTTTTTTTTTTGTTTTTTTTTTTTCATACCTTGTTTACCCTCTTTCTTAGGCAATCTTCTCTGCATTATCATTTTGAACATTAACATGCTTAGGTTGACAGGAGCCAAATAAAATTAAAATGTGACCCAGAAACAACAGAAATGTGTCATCCTGGAATAGACATGTGGCCTGTCCAACCTAGACACCTGCTTCTCATAATGAGTAATGCCAGATGTTTCAGGGAAAGATACAAGCCTCTATTACACATCTGCTTTATGCAATTGTGCAGTGACACATCACAAGGGAGTTTTTTTCTTTCTCTGACCCTGGGTTAGCCCTCAGATGCAGCCTAATATTTCAAGACATCAGCCCTTGAACTCATTACCCTTGCATCCTTTACCCACTCTCTCATAAAACACACACACACACACATACAGAGAATTTGTCTAATGTGCTCCCTCATCAACTCTGGGAAAAACCAATTATACTTGTATACAATCCTTTCTGATTTCCATTAAAGAGATGGCTGAACATTTGTGAACATTTGCTATAAGGGCAATGTTTATTGGTCGCAGTAGGCAAATGAGAACTAGTTCACATTTGCAAGTAGCTTGGAAATGGAAATCACTACACTGGTGATGACAAAAGCAGGTATTAGAAAGCCCTCTGGAATCAAGATAGCTAACTGAGAATATGTTGGGTAAAACTGCAAAGAACTAGTAACAAGTGCAAGAATTACAAATACTCATAACTTCTCTTGAACTATATGCTCCCTAAAAAATTCAATAAGAAACATAAGTGTTGCGTGTTTATTAACTCGTTCAACAGATATTATTATTATTGAGTGCATTCTCTGCACCATTCACTGTGTTAAGTTCTGGAGAAACCATCATTGATTGTCCTCTTGTAGAGTCCAGGAGAAATGGACAATTGGTAGGGAAATAAATAGATGATATAATAAACTGAGATAAATGATATGAAGGAAATCATCATGGTTGTGATAGAGAAAAACTGGAAGTACCTACTGTAGAGTGGTCAGGTGAATTTTCTCCAAGATGTGTCAATCAAACTGAGACTAAATGATGATAAAACTAAGATCAGGATTAGAACCTGCAGAAAGGGTTCTGGGGAGAGGAAATAATGGGGGCAAATCTTATGGGTAGACCCAAGCCCAGTATATTTAGAAACTGAAAGGAAGTCAGCATGCCTAGAAGCAGGCAAGAATTATATCTTGAAGGACTTTGTAGGTTATTGTAAGGAATTTGGGCTTTATTATAAGTGAGATGGGAAACTATTAAAGGGCTTAAAGTATAGCAATGGTACAACCATATATATATTCTAGTCCACATGCAAATTATGGCTCTCTAGGTCCAAGGTGGGGCACAGGATCCTGCATTTCTAACAAGCCTTCAGGTGAGGTGGATGTTACTGGTCCACAGACCATGCTCTAAATAGAAAAGCATGAGATTCCTTCTAAAGGAGTCCAGACTCTATGCTCTGCCAAGGTGGTGCCTTGGCTAGCAAGTTGCGTGTGGTAATGGAGGAAATTGGACAGATTTAAGATATATTTCAGACTTAGAAGTAACAGATTCTATATAGCATGCCTTTTAACATTATAGTAGTGTGTGTCTTAAGAAGATCTTTGAAACCAAAATTTCTGAAAGTTGAAGGGAATTCTGGGAGTTCTTATCTCAACACTGGGTATAGATGCAGATAATAGTTGAGAAATTAAAGGCAGAGGTAGACACTTTCCATGAGCAGGTAAGAACTTAGCTGGGGGGTAGGGAGAGGGTCAAGGTGCTGGTGAGTTGGGTAGAGAAGTTGCCCAGGACTCAGCCTGTTTGTATAACAGCCAAGGAGTTTCCAGCAGATGTCGGTGAGAACTGAAGTCCATAGACGGCACAGGAAAGAAGCTTGAACCTCAAAGTCCAAAGCTTCAAGACTTAGTTCTGTCGAATTTTAACTGTGTATCTCTGGGGGAAACAAAATCACTAATCTTTTATGATGTCGTGAGATAAACTATGATGTAATGAGATCATGCATATGAATACATTTAGCATGGTGCCTATTATAAGAAC